CGTTCCTAATGGTGGCGTTCCTAACGGTGGCGTTCCTAACGATGGGGTTCCCAACGGTGGCGTTCCTAACGGTTGCGTTCCTAACGGTGACGTTCCTAACGGTGGGGTTTCCAACGGTGGCGTTCCTAACAGTGACGTTCCTAACAGTGGCGTTCCTAACAGTGGCATTCCTAATGGTGGCGTTCCTAACGTTACAAACATAATGTAGAACGTGACTTTACCCAACTCTACAAATAACTTTTCTTCACTTTTTTCTTGGTTGTAGTTATCAAAATATCACTACAATTACTACTATTACTTTCATTTTATACTTTGTATTTTGGTGAGTTAATTTCATTTCACTTACACAGTAGTGTGGTGTATAAAGTAATACAAGAATAAATAACATTTGTGAATTGGATTCACTGAAAAAAAACCTCATGATGGAAAATAATGTTTTATGAGGTTGTTGTTCATTAGTATGAACATTGATTTATGAAGTTCTCATGTTTATTTCATACCATTGCCCACCTCCWCCTTATTCATTCATACCACTAAAAAACATTGTTTGTTACTTCCACTGCTCCTCCAACTTACTATGAAGAGTGTACTGTACACTATTAGGATATTCATASTTCCCAAGGTTTCTTATGCTTCTCAGTATTTGCACAATTCATTGACATTGTTTTGAAGTGAGAATTTCATATAATCTTACTATGTGTTGCATATCAATTGAAAAAACAATTCTCAGGGCATTCCAAACTTTATCTTTATCTTCTGAATGTTACCACCATATGCTTTTGTAGAAATGAGTACTGTGGTTTGGCTTRAATTTAACATTCTGTGTTTTCCACTGAACATTCTGAATGTTAGTAGGAACCTCTTTTTTGGCACCATACCTGAAACAAAACCAAMATTATGCTGACATTGGGAATGTTCATAGGTTGACATTGAGAACCTTAGTAGTAATTCTAACATTCAAAATGTGTTGTGAAACATAATTTCRATACTAGTACTGAGCAAAAAAAATGTGATATTTTGTAATTAGTACTATTACTACTAGTTCTAATAAGAGGTTTGGTGACATGATCAAATTTGACTGTAAATTGGATAGCATGTCTTTCTGACCATTGAAATAGWAGTTATGGTGAGAGCACATAGTAGTCAAGAACCACACAGCACAGGATACTAGTAGTAGAGGCTTTTGTGTAGTGACTAGTACTTGTAATCTACAAACAATTTAGGGAATCCTTAGTAGTAGGTACCCTCTAGTATACTATAACACACTTAGCTTTGTACCATGAATAAATACACCAGGGTGGTTGCTGCAAACACCAACACATCTCCCTTCTCCCATTTGATGCAATCAAAGTCACATAGATGATTTGCAAACCTGAAAGATTCAATCCAGGAGGAAAAATAAAGATACAATCTGAAAACAACTTTTATAACTCCTCTTCTCTACCCCAYCCCCAATTTCATTGAATTGGTTGAAATACATCCATGTTTATCAACTACAAATAATTTCCTCCCTGTGCACCAGGRATCAAACAATACTGTCTTCTTTACCTTGATCAAGATATGAACTGAGATAGCAGAAAGCCACATTGTTGTATTTTTAGCTCAGTGAAGAAATTATGYCATTGTATTGTGCTCCTAATAAAAACAGGGTTGCTGTAGTAGCACTAGTAGTAGTAGCCATGTGGGGAGATATGGGGTTATAGATTATTACTTTGTAGAAGATGGGGCTGAATATCAGAAGTAAAAAAGAAAAAAGGTACTGTATGACTGGTGCATCTGGGATTTTTTGGCCTCGCTATGATAGTACTAGAAGTAGTAGTAGTAGTAGTAGTAAAACTAGTAGTACCAGGGGCATACAGGGCAAGACATGACAGGACAGATCAYGGTGGATGCGTGTGGATACCCACGTGAGGCCCACCCATGACTGGCCCAGGTGACTCCCCCTGCATGTGCTGCAACAGAGCACACTACTAGGTAGATATGATACAATGATATGATGATATGGACTAGGTACRTAGTAAGTAGCATCCCACATGGGGGCTAAGAGTGGACCACACCAGGGCATAGGTAGRGCACCCCTTGTTCAGGTGCCCTCGCATGTAATAGCTCAGTTGAGGGCCACATGACATATGACCCAGGTGAGTACAACCTCACATAGTTGCAAGGTYCCTCCCCACCTGGCAGTACTAGTATTGGCATATACCAAACACCTTAGTATGGTACAGCTAGGTACTGCAGTACTACTACTATGTGACAGCGGCCTCATGTGACAAAGACTTTGTGTTGACTTTGCGTGACAGTGACCTCACCACCTGATACTCACCTGAGACTACTGCGAGGGCATTGTGACAGGGCTTCCATCTRCTGCAATACACAATCCTGGTGCAACAGCAATTGGTGGTGCCCTCYTACCTCATGCCCTGGCTGCATGGTGGTGACAATGGGATCACCACCAAAGCTTGAAAATTTTCTCCATCCCACCCACGCGACGGTACCTCTGTGCACTTTTTAACTACCAGCCTGAGTGTTCCCCCAAGTGAGTCCCGTATGCGTCAGTTCCAGGGTTCACACACACTCAGTCCCCTTTTGTATGACATTCACCTAGTAGCTTTTTTATCYGCCACCTATGTATGTACCATAGCTAGCATAGTATACAAGCTTGTTATGAATGTGAGCAATACAAGCTTATGAATGTGAGCACAGCACAGAGTCCATGCATCCGGAGTGACGCACTGGCCGGTACAACCAAGGCGGCGCCAGTGTATCCAACTAAGTGGTTCAATGGTTCAATTAGTACTCACTTAACCACGTGTCGCTTCAAGGCAGCATTGGTACATTCCATTTACCATAGTATGTATAGTATTACATAGCTATGATGGTACTACCATAGCTATGGGAGTACTGGTATGTAGTTTGAATCAATATCAGCGGCAGGTCTAGTACCCCCGGATAAGAAATAAATATTTACATGTAGAACTGTACATGGCCTGGTTGTTTTGCATCTTTTTTCCATTTTTGATTGGTTTGCTGATCTATTTTCAACCGTTAGTGACATCAGCAATTACTGTAGACTGTAGTCCAGCCACTTACCCGGAATCAAGCTCTGCTTGTAAGATTATCCCTACGGGATACCAACCTTCGTAACTTTTTACTGTACCGGTAGAACGGTTACAAAATTCGAGAATGGTGCGAGAAACAGAAACTCTCGATGTGGCAGGAACCCAACAGCAACTCTAGACCGTCCGGTGTATCGACMTTGTRMCATACTGCAGCACTGCAACGCACCCCACCACGCACCCACGAAAGTGYATCCYAATCCATCCCACCATCTCCTGTGTCACATTGCACTCATAAGATACTTGCCACCGATGGAAGAGAAACGGCCCGCTTTCGATCCACTGCCGCCATCATCTCGTTCGGCGTATGATGCTCTCACGGAAAAGAACAAGAACGGGACCCACAACGGCGGCACGATGAGAAACATGCGGGAATTGCTAGCGTCGACCCTTTTTTGGATCGGTTTCGGACTCTTTGGCTGGTACTTTCCCCGATCTCTAGTCCACAGAGAAACCTCGATTTTATCTCTCGAGCCACCGTATCAAATGGCTGGCGGGGGCACAGTGATAGTGGATTTCGAACTGAACCAACCTCTTGTTGATCCGCCGACCGTTGGCAGTGAGTACTCGAAGTTTCTTTCTTTCTTCTTCTATCTTGGGTGCGATACCTTGTTTTTGATTTTCAGTTACAGTAATGCGAGGAAAYGAATCAGTCAAKCAACAACGGTCACGCCTGCAATACCACTCACAAAGCGAAAAACGTTCCTCTCGATTGTATGTGTCCATCGCCGTTTTTGAAAAACCAGACTTCTTGCTCCGAAGCACCTCCATTGGGCTCCCCTTGATCTTTTTAGTGATTCATGCTTGGCTTTCCGAAACCCCAGCGATCAATGATGCGGAGAATGCCGGTGATACGAATAGCTCTCCCAACCTTAACGATCCGGGGGCGACCAGTACGGCACTGAGATTCAGGATCCAGCGTGTCGCTAACGTAATTTCCGCCTTTTCTGCGGCAATGGGATTGTCGGAAGGGTGCACCGTTATGGTGAAACTGTGGGTTCAGAGGCGCCGGCCAAACTTTTACGCACTCTGTGGCTTCGATGCCGCGAACCAAAAATGCATGGGTACGCTCGAACACATTCGAGAGGTGAGTAGAARTGAATGAGCGATTGAAAGAGTGCGTTTGTCACCTTCCTTTCGTCCTTTTTTTCTCATGCATTTCTCTTGTTGTATATTGCGCGTGTGTTGTGTTTCATTATGCCGTGTATGACATCATTGTTTATTGCTTTATTTCCTTGAAAAAAAGGCAAATTTCTCCTTTCCTTCGGGACATTCTAGTTTAATTTGTTGCGGCATGACATTTCTGGTGTGGTATGTACACGGTGCCGCTAACACCAATGGCTGTCTCCGTACCGTTCTTCGGCGACCTTTCGACAACACGCACGCAAGGGGAAGGCRGTTCGCTGGTTTGTTTTCCCCGTCGCCAAGRTTCTGTTCCTTGGTGGTGGGGACGTGTCTCCCCTGGGGATGGGCTCTCTTTGTCGCTGCATCTCGTCTCGTCGATCACTGGCACCACCCGTCGGATGTGTTGGCTGGATTGGCACTGGGATTTTCGGCGTGCACGATTGCCTACCACCACTGGTATCCTCCGGTTTGGTCACCGAATGCCGGGATTCCTCTSGACTTGATACCGGCCACAAACATTAAATGCAACAATGACACCGGATACAGTTCAAAAACTAACGCGGGTCTGCACACAACAGCGACGGGTTCCTCAATGATAACAGCATCAACGGTGTCTACATCAATAGGTGCTGCCTCAACCACCACCAAGCGACGGCCAAACACTGAACCATCACCATCTGTATAAGCGGGCACTGGTYAAGTTTAATGGTTGCACGAAATATTTGAATGGCGACGACGCGACGCASTCTCTCAAGAGGGATTGAAAAAGAAGCGAGAGGAGACAAAAAACGATTTGGAACCGGGAACGCGAGCAGTGCCCGGGAAGTAGAGTCATGGAACTTTTGTAGCCGGGGGCAGATGGKGCAAGCAGGCATTCAGTGTTGAAAAATCCTAGCAAACCGTGAAAGCGTCACCGGGACCATTCTTTTGTTGCGAAGCAAAGGGCTTCTTCTTCCATGRCAAGCTGCACTATTCACATTACTTCACATTAGAATTCAATACTCAGAATACCTCTGAGTGGCATATTTTTTGGAGTGGCATGGCCTCGTAAATTTCACGACGAATTACTACTGTTACTGTTACTGTCTTGACGGACTCAAATCGACAATACTGCAAGTCAGCAACTACGCAAAATCCCATGATCAAAACATCTTTGACGACTACAAACTTTCTGTGTACACAAGTATTCAATATGACAATCGGATCGTACTATTACGACTGAACTTCAACACAATGCATTTCTAACGTATGTGTCTCTGATTGTTGCATTACTGCAGTACGTAGTTTGGTTCAGGGGTATGACCCCTGGCCTGGTTTGGTTCACATGCTAATACCTAACGTGAAAGTGCTTTTCCGTACTGAATTGCTACCAACCCGTAYTGTACCTAGGTCGTGATATCATACTTTCTCGTTTCGATCCAGCATCGTACGAGTTTACTGTATGAGGTTCAATAAGAACTACAGTACTTTACTATTAATAGGTACCTGGTACTTTAAGATTGGAGAGAGAGAACTCGGAAGGAGAACGATAGCTGTTCAATCGTGGAGTTGATTCAAGTCGGGCATGAATTTGCGACGAAATTACGGAATTCCGAACGCGCCCAATTTTGTGCGTCTCCCGGGGTACTCGTACGTACGCACGAACTGTATGGGTTTTTGACAGGACTCCAACGGACCGTTTCGTGAGACGAGTTCGTCGCTAAACCTTCCCCCTCCTCGGCACTTTTTTGGTACGGCCTCCGAGCCYTTCTCGCGCCACCAGGGGGACGGAGCCCGGGAAGTCTTCGTAAAAAACCGATCCGAAACYCCCCTTCTCCCTGGGCCCCGCGGGTTCCAGTTCTTGTGTCCTCCGTTGAACGTTTAAAAGAAAACTAAGGGGAAGGAGGAATATGTCTATCAAAGTATTTTGAACGGGGATAGTGGCGAACAGAMATGCGGWTATATARTTATTCAAMTACGWATAGTATCAATTATCGCTCGACCCTAATTTTTGTTCGCGCGCACAAGTTTGCAAAAGGCTGAACCATAGTCCAGCACGAGGCTCATTCCGCACTTCTCCACCCAATCCTTGAACWTKTRAACCCCGTAAGTCTGACYAACAGTTTTGTGAGATGTTACCGCGTCGCATCGTGAAGGGGCAGCCAATAAAATAGTGCTGTAGTACTCGTGTYGAGAGAGAGCCATTACCGGTATACGGAACGCCACCGCAACAAAGCTCTGGTGTTGACTCTCTCCAGGCTGCCGACAGCAATGCCATTCCAGACTTGTCACTGTAAGATTAAGATAAGCATACCGAGACAATCTAACTCAMCGTAAGATAGTCTATTGATAACCGCGAGAACACAATCAAACACGACACGTTCACAAATCACGACCACACAAAAGCAGTTTTTAGACAASGTGGGGAACACAGAGGAGCCAGTTGTAATTTCGATATCATCGCAACCAGAGAAGGAATTACTGTCACCATTAGAGGAAAGAGCTTTCCTGTGGCGATTGGCTTTCCTTATCGAACCAGCAATAGCATTTCAACGGGGGTTAGTAGATAACGAAGCGAGCAGTCAGCACAGGTACGATAAAATAGATCAGAACAAAATAGAACACAATACAGAAGCAAGATGTCGTCTTCCAATGACGCCGACAACTGCGAGATCGGAGCAAACGATCMCGCCGGTGATCGAGTCGATGAACCAAATCCGAACGACGTCTTGTGCGGCCGAGGAGGAAACATCAACTCGCACAAAGGAAACGAGCAATTCCGCAAGCTGGTGGAGAAACGGAAACGTGTTTACCTTACGGCTCGCTTCAAGCGTGAAAAACGATTGATTGCCTCTTCCATCGTGAACGAGATCCGAGCCATGGATCCCCCAGGTCGATTTCTAGCACGAAAGGGTAGTATGAAAGACGACAGCGGGTTTTGGTACGACATTGGTGACGAAAAGGCCCGCGACAAAACATCGCAGGCCCTGCGGGAGAACGCTCCCTCCATCCGAGCCGAGATCGAAACGGAAATCAATCAGCAGCGTGCAGAAATGAGGCGGCAAGAGGCGACGACCGATCCGCAGCCGTCTTCCGCAAAAAGCGGACCGAACGAGTCGTCGTATCCTTCCGCCCYAATAGGGCATCATCATCCCGGAAGCCACGGGCACCTTGGGAATCCCCCTCCTCCGATTCCTCCTCCCCCTCATCCGGGTCATTCGCACACGTACAGCCCTGCYCACCAGAGCCATTATTCGCAACAGTACTATGATTACTATTATCATTACTACGGATATGGAGCGCCTCCGCCCCCCCCTCCTCCGGGATACACAAGCAATGCTGCGGCACCCGCTGGAGCTCCTCCCCATCCATCGTTGCAACCAGGATACCCCCCCGCAACCCAACCGCATCCCTACTGGGCTGCTCAGTCTAGTCCCAATGCAGCTGCAAGTGGAAACAGATCGACTCCACCTGGACCGCCGGCGACGAGTGCGGTGGTCACCCCTTCTCCTCACTCACCCTCGGGCCGATCGACTGGGGTAGCACTGAATCCAAGTGCTGCTGATGCAAAATCACCTCCAATGGCCGAAGGTCATGCCTCAAGCGCGGTCGACTCCACTTTTTCTCCCTTTGCTCGTGCCACAACCCAGGAAGAAGAAGATCGACGCCTGGCTATGGCCTTGCAACAGGAAGAGAATGCCAAGGCATTCGAAGACAGGAATCGTCGATTTGGTTCCGATCGGAGGTCGTCGCGATCTACGGCCTACTGTGCTCCTGGGTACCGCCCTCGCTTGTTGAACGACAGCGTCGAAGCACCGAATGAGGGGGGTTTCGGGACTCCAAACCGAAAGAAACGACCGCCCATGTCGGCGAGTCACTTTTTCGGTCCCTCTCATTCATTCAGTAGAGAAAGAGCTAACACGGGATCCAGTGCACCGAGCAACGGGAACATGGAAAACGATTCGAACCTGAGAATGGAAGAAAAAGACCACTACGAAATGAATCTAAAGCCTCCTGCACAAATGCATCCCAAACGGGAAGGACGCAAGAACGACAACAATGCCGACAACAGTCACGGCATCGATCAGAATCACAACCACGATCACGACTTCTCGTGTTCGTCCTTTTCTACGAGAGGACGGATGGAATTCAAGGACGACAGCGAATTTAGCATGTTTGGCGAAGGAGGAACTATCGTTCCTTCCTCAAACGCCAACAGCACCGGATCGTTTAGCAGAGTTAGAAACGTATTTTCTAGTGCGTTCTCGAACAAGGATAACAAGCACAGTAACGCAGGAAGCAATTCATTCAACCCAATTTCTCTGGACCAGAGTGATCGAAACCATGGGCAATCACAGCAGTACCAGCACAAATGCGATAGTTCAAGAGGTGATGATAACAGGAGCCACAATCGCAAGCACTGCGATCACCACCAACACAGCCAAGAACAGCAGGATCAACAGAACCACCAGGAGTCTTCTCTTTTGTCGCAGGTGGCTAGTCACATTTTGGGTAATTTTGGTGGTTCCTCATGGACAGATAGCAACAATCCCTCGAACAAGCGGGACCACCAACATCATCACGGAGGAAATGACGAACCTGAAATGGAAATGGAATTAGGTCAAGAAGTTATAATGGACGTCAGAGACGAATCATCTAGTATGCCACCGCCTCAAAGCAGAGGAAATGGCACACAGGTCGATTGGCCCTCGAGAGCTGGTTGTCACACTTGGATTCCCGATTCGATGGTTGATACCACGGCATCATGTAATTTTGGGCACGATGACAACAATCGTGACATGCATACAACGCATCAACATGTTTCCGCGACTCACCACAGTCGCCATCGCCACCATCATCCTAACGATCATTCCCTTAATCGTGAAACCAGCTATGGTCGTGCGGACATCTCCCCGATCAATTCAATGGATATGGATTTCTCTCTATCATCATCTCTAGGAGGACATCGACAACGGACAAATAATATCAATGGCGGTGCTTCAACATTGATGAACGTATTCGAGAAAAAGACTGCTGATCTAAATCCAGAAGAGTTGTTGCCACAGATTCATCGATCCGGTTTACAGCAAACGCCATCTTGGGAAAGATCCTACCGTAGCCGGTCACCCGTGTCTCTGGGAGAGCTTTCTGGTGTCGACGAAATGGATGGCTCGCTCATCCGCGTGCATTCGCGTGATGCGAAGGATAAGTTGTTTGGCATGAACGGAAGCACCGTGGAGCCACAACCTTCCACATCTATRGGTCAATACAACGTACACCAGCAACCTCRCCATCAAAACCATCAGCACGGAAGCCATCATCATCCGCCACAAGGGCAGCAATATCAATCACCGATGAAACCGTCAGCGATGCATGGTCATCACAATCAAGCACCTCTTTCCTCACGGGCTCAAAATTATAGCGAATCACGTGAGATTGATATGGACTGGGACTAAATAATTCTACAGATATAGGGGATAGAGTAAAGAAAAACGCACCGAAGCAAACTTTTTTAGAATGGAAACTACATGTTTCGACTCKACTAATAAAGAAATAGAAAGTGACATTGCTGCTGATCACTGCCTTGTATTTTACCAAATACTACACGTTGCAATAATGCAGTCGTGTCGACTAATATTTGTACAATAGAAGTGGCAAATCGCAAATGCATTTTACACCACACTAATGCGATGCAGGTTCGTCGATTGCATTGTATTACAATGACCACGATCTTGGCTCGCAAACATCAGTACACGATACGGTACTAACGATTGCACTACAAATCAAAAATCGCAAATGATACGAACAATAATTATGAATTGCACATTCAAATTTTAATTTTCCGACAAGCGTAGCTTGATTCGAAGAACACATCTTTGTTTCCATTTGTCGGAAAGCGTCAGAAACAGCGAGTGCGTCATTTGGTCTTTTAGTATTTCGAGAGGCRCCGCAGCATGCGCAATGAACTCGTCGTCTGCTCTCAGAACCACAGATTTCATGTACGTGAGTGCGAAGCCGACAACAACACAGCACGTAGTGGCTATAATCGCCGTTTTCCACCACCACTGTTCCGTCGTGAGTGTTTCGTGAAAGAAAAAATCTATAGCACCCAGCACGTACGCAGCGATCAGAGCGCACACCAACGAGCAGCCCGAAAATCGAAAGATCTCGAGGGTGATTCCCCATGCTCCACAATCGGCATCCCAAGCTTCCACCAGCAGGATTTGGCTATTGAAATCGGAGTTTATATAGATCCCGCTTTTTTCYAGCGATCCACCTTTGAGCGGCATCTCTAATCGCTGGTTCCATTCCGGGTCGAGCGTCCGGTACGCGATCCGAGATGTCACAGTAGATATTTCCCGTTGCGTCATAGCCGAGAAATTCCTGAAAGACCCCTTCTGTTCCCTTGCTTGCGTACAGTCGAAAGTCGAGTACGATGTCTCGTTCACCACAGAGAACTTGACGTAACAGTCTGCTTTGCCATTCGCATCCATTACCGGTAGTTGTCCAAGTCGTCCAGGTCTTGTTCCGATAAGATGGATGTTCAAAAATTTTGGTTGAAAGGATACTACAGGAGCTGCGCGTTCGAGAAGCATAGCAACTTCGTTACTCCTTAATTTGTGTTCCAATTCTTCCATCCCTTCGCTGCCCAGCATCCATTTCGATAGCTGGAACAGACTTTCTTCTGCAGTTAACGATATTCTGTTTACTCCTCGTTTCGTATCGGTGTAATCATATTCCCARGGAGTCACTTTCGACGACTTCGTATACAAAAAACAATTCCTCTGGGCTGGATTGCTTTTTAGATTGCTTTCCAGAAGAGCAATCTTATCAGAGACAACCTTTCCGCCTATTTGTACCATCGAATCCAATTGGTTCTGGGCATTTTTGTGATTGAAATCATCAAGAGCATCAACAAAATTTGGTGACCATTCTGAAATACTTCTTCGAAATTTGCGGTATAAATAGTTGGCACCATCGAAAAATATGAGCCAAGTGATGGCGACCAACTTGAATTGGTAGTAGAGTGGAAATTTGGAAAGCAAGACACGGGCAAATGCGTGTTCAAAAGACATAGACCCAACAAAGATCACCCAGAATGTCAACCATTGTTGGTCGTCATCACCTCCTGGTGTTTCTATCGCCATGATCGATTGATAGCCACCGTAGAAAAACGACAAAATCCAACCCACGAATTCGGCTATCCTACCGAAACCGCTAGGTTTTGCAATGCAATATGGACCCGCATCAGGCTCTCCACAACGTTTCTGTTTCAGTAAACCCGATGCTATAGCAGCAGTGTGTCGACTGGCTGCCGATTGCATGTGCATCCATCGTCCTAGGCCAGGCCTATGAGTCGTTTCGTGGGAATGAAGTAAGCCAAAGAATTATATGTCAATCACGCGTCTGAAGCTAYGTATCAGTGGTTGCACGAGATCTACAAAATGCGATGATTCAATCGTTTCCACTTACTTGAGGTCACAAGAATACCTATACCCAAATTTTGGTCTCGTCTTTCGGCAGAATTTCTTYGGCTCGCAAGAAAAGAAAGGCCCCTTTTGGCAAGTAACTTCGCCMCCGTATTCATCATCATCTGCAGTGCAGTAGCCTGCCGCTACACATGGAAAATCTCCAGTCTCGGCGTATACTTCTTTGATTGATTTGCACATGCTGATGCATTTCGGAGTCCCCAAGCAGATCCAAGAACATGGAACTGCTTCTAGGCCTTCACTTCCTATCAGAAGATCCCCTACAATATCATCGCAAAGATTACATGTCACCTCGGGATTTGCACTYCGTCTAAACGTCGTTGCTCCGACTAGCCGGGCTACTTTTACAAGCAAGGATAAATCATCGACGAAGGTCAAGGTTGCCCACGTGTAAACAAAAGGTTTCAAGAAATGCAGAAACATTATGCATTGTGAACCAATACGCTTCACGAYACGGAAAACTTTCTGTATCACTCTCCGATGCTTCAATAATCTCTTCCGGCTTAATTGAAAGGAGTCCAAAGGGATAGAAATTATTGTTATTTGTTACTGCAGTTACTATTTCGCGGTCTTTTTAAGTCTTCATCGAGAATATCCAGAACCTGACTCATACGCACGTCGAATGCAATGATGACGATATTTTTGTACAGTACAGTACGTACTATTTTAAAACACTGCATAGTGCCGGTACGGCAATTATCACGGGTCATAATTTAGAGGGGAGTGTTGAGGGACAGACCGCCCAATGTCCGAGAACCTACGGAGAAAACCAAGCAGGAAGGGAAACGCATTTGGACAAATATTTCTCATGATGGCAGACATCATGTGACATGATGAAATATTATGAGTTTATCTCATTCTTCATACTTAAACATACTCTTTCAGACTTCATACTGCAATCCCGTACCATAGCATACATGGTCGCTTGTATTRAATCAATACAAAATAGAAAAGAACAAACTTCTTGCTCTATCATCCAATAGAGCAATATTGCTGAATATACTGTATACGTACAGCTATAACCTCAGCAAACACCCAACACAATCAACAGATTCAAGGATCTGGCATCACCTACAGTTTCAGGGATCTACACAGCAACAAATGCAGCAGCAAATAGTACCCATTACAGTGGATCCCAATAACAAGACAAACAACACCGACAATGTCAGAGCAATCAAGAAGGATCTGGACAGTTGCGATGGTCCATGGATCAAGCGGAAGGCAAAGCCCAATCCCAATAACAAATAACTCCAGTAACATGGGTCATAATTTAGAGGGGAGCCCATCAAATCAAAATTTCATATTCCATCTGTGGTCCAAATTTCCAAAAATTCACCCCAGGATTTTTTTAATTCTCATTATTAATTTCATGTTCGTTTTTCAATTGCAAAATAGTAGTATCACAAATATCAATTTAATATCCAACAAAATAGTATATTCAGAATCAGCATTAAAAAATGGGCTGGATTGACTACTCAAAAATTAATATAGTAGTATCTTTGATTAAGTTGTAACTGCTTAAAGGTTGGATAGTTTTACTACTAGTATTATGTAGTAAAAATGAGAATTTTAAAAATCCTGGGGTAACTTTTTGGAAATTYGGACCACAGGTGGAATGTGAGTTTCTCTTTTTTTGTGCACTTTGTGATTACAAAAAAATTGTGATGCGCTCCCCTCTAAATCATGACCCCTGAACTACGACCCCGAGCAAACATTACGGTGTAGCACATTGCGCTTTGTACACCTCCCCTGCCTAGATATCGAATGATTAGAAAATAAAAGTACCGTACAGTAAACCTTTTTTTTCACAAAATAACCATTGAAAATACAAAATACAGTAATGGGTCATTCCCAATAAAATTGATATATGTCTYTTTTGACCAGCCAGCTTGCTTTGTGTATCTCAAATACTTAGATACTGCTGGTGGTTGTACTAGTGGGCAACAACCAAGATCTGTGWATTTGACATAATTATTTATTGGAATCCTTGACTTAATATTTTCTGTCTTGTGAGTGGGCGCCCCCTTCCAACAACAAGAGTCACTGGGCGCAAAAACAAACAAACTGAAATGTTGATCTTAAAAGAACAAGCATAKCTTTGGTTGTTCCCCTCAAGCAAGAACAGACACACACAACACCAGGCAGAACACATTCAACAGAGACAAAGAACACCATRCAATACACCACTGAAGAAGAGGAGTATGCTTACCATGATAGGAGGAGGGGGCTGCTGACAGGCGTGTGCACCTCTCTAGTTAATAGTAACACAAGTATCAACATTCTTCTGTTGCAGAGGATGAAGGGGCTTGCTAATAGTAGAGGGAAAGAGTGCCAGCACTGTCGCCTTGAGAGAGAAGAGCTTGGTGAAGAGGGGGAGGAAGACCATGAAGTCCTGTATGTGATACATGTCCCATATGTAATACCCTCTTCCAATCATCCTGTGGCTCATAAAAAAGAAATCATCATGGCTCTAGCTCCAGCAGCTGCAGGGCCAGCTGCACAAGAAAGAGGAGGAAGGACTTGAGGCTCCACCAACTACACTCTTAGTAGGGAGACCATGCAAATGCTGAAGTCCCTAAGGAGGATACTCCCTATTGGCCCAGATCAATGGATGAAAGTTGTCCACWTCCATGAAGAAAACTGGAATACTAGTAGAAGAGACAAGGAATCCATCACCAGGAAGTGGTCCTCCCTCCACAGGAAACATATYCCTACTGGGAATCCAAATATAACTCCCACCATTTTCAAGCTTGCAAAGGAGATCAAGCAGTTGATTGTATTGAAAGCTGTCATTGGRGATGGAAAAGAGGAATTTGATTTGGAAGAAGGATACAACAAGATTAGTGAGGATGACGCAACTTTAAATAGCAACAACAATGATAGTCCTCCTCCACTTCAACAGCCTGCACAACTTACACAAGAAACACTGCCAACAYCAACTCAGCTCACTCAGCTTGAGACGCTGACTCAGACTCAGATGGTGCAGCTTGTTCAAATTATTCCTCCAACTCAAGCAACTCAATTGACTCAAGGAACTCAACTGACTCAACCATTGACTGGATCAACTCAAGCATTCTTGTCAACTAAAGCTATTCCTCAGAGTACTYCATGCCTGTGTCCTCCAGCAAAGAGATCATACTCAAGATCCTCCTCCTTATCAAGCAGCAATAGCAGCAACACAAACTTCAGATCCATGTTCTAGATGTCCATGCAACAGCAACAAGTCCTTGTTGCTATCCAGGCCAGGGAACTGCATAACCAGTCCATAGATCAGCATCAGCAAACCATGAGAGAAATTCAAAGATATGCTTCTTTCCCTCTCCAGCACTTATCTCCCTCCTGTTGCTTGTTATTGCAAGAAAAAGTAGAGGAGAAAGCAAAAGGACTCATCTGCCTCAAGAAAGCACAACACATCCTCCTCCTCCTCCTCAGACAAAATTTGGGAATAATCCCATGGTTATTTACTAATACTGTTTGCTGTTTGCTGTTTGTTCCATCCTGTTTGAGATTCATGAGAGCTGCTGTGCATGCAATACTTCATGTGATCAAATCATGCCCATGCAATACTTTGTGTTATCTGGAATAATTGCAAATCAATATGTTGGTACCCTCTCAACAAGTTGTGCCAGCAATTGTCATGAGATTGCTATGCCAACATATACAATGGTGGATATCTGTGGAATCAATTGTGGTGGGATTGCTTCAATTTGCAACACCTTTCCTTTCTATTATCACCAGTCCCTTTTTCTAAAAATATACATTGATGAATATCCGTATCCATGTACAACACATTCCTTTTCTATTAACAGTCCCAGGGGTTGGGAAGGTATGCAAGAAAATTGGCAACACAAAGTAACACAGCACTATAGTGGAGAAAGAACTCAAATAACATGGTGTGTTACATGGGTTTCTTTTTTAGGATGCTGCTTTAGCTCATCCTTCATTCTTCATAATACTAACTAGTAGAGTACATTCTTAAATGTTTGCTATTAATCTTCCATTAAAGAACTAAACAACAATTACCTCAACCATGGGAAACTAAACTAATGGACAATTGACCATGGGAATTGGCAATCTGCTCAGAACAAGCTGGGAAACGAGCTATTTGTGTCCCCATTGGGCTGAAGTCTATAAGAAAAGTATCCTATGCGTCTTTGTGCATAGGATTGCCTCAACTCATCAAAGCATTCAAAGCCACTGGTATTGCTCATGAGGAAGGTGTTAAGGATCTGATTGATGCCCCCAGCACTGCATTGATAGTTATACAACAATAACAAAAGGTTAAGAATAATCTTCCTATCCCCAAGATCTTCCAGTGTAAGCCTCTCCTTCATTCTTGGGAATTGCCCCTGGATCATTTGCATGCCCCATTCAGAGAACTGGCAGATAGCTGTGGCTTCCCTGTTAATTACAAAAGCCCAGGTGTTCTCTTCTATGTTATCAAATGTATCAGGGTCATTCTGCTGGCTCCAAATGAGATAGTCTATTCCTTTTTTAAATGTGTAAAATGAAGTAGAAGTACTATATACAATTTCTGCATCAAGATTTCCAAGAGTAATTTGCAAGATGTGTTTGATATAGATGGTGACAAACACAAGAAGTTTTCCATTTCACATAAGATGGTTGCAGAGTTTCTTTCTTCCATTGACAAATGTAGAAAATTTTGTTGCTCAAAGAATGCAGTTTGCCCTCTTCAAAGAAAGGATCAAAGAATGACATGCAATGGCTCTGATTTCTTGCCAACAATATGCTTTGGAATATTCTTCCACAAAGAGGAATAGCAAGAGAAAGTAGTAGAAAACCATTACCTGGATTAAAGAGTAGAGGTAAAACATTCAACAGCTCCAACAGCTTCAGTTTTGGAAGAGTTATTAACTGCAGTACAAGAGTTTATTTCTCCCACCAGAATTATATGTGGAGCCATATGGAATAGAGGAACTATCACGCGCATGGGTGCATAATGAGTACTAACTGACACACAACAAAATGCCATTAC